ATCCCATTCTTGTGATTGTACATAAYGTAGAGTTATACTGGGCATGTATTCATATATGAGCATAGGGAAGTTATGTCCAATTCATTCTACTGTCTTTTCTATTCCCATTCCCCCTCCCTCCCTTTTATTCCCCTTTGTCTAATCCAGTGAACTTCTCCGCCCCCCTTATTGCATATTAGCATTCACATATCAGAGAAAACATTCAACCTTTGGTTTTTGGGACTGGCTTATTTCACTTAGCATAATATTCTCCAGTTCTATCCATTATTGGCAAATGCCATAATTTTATATTTATTTATGGCTGAGTAATATTCCATTGTGTATATATATTATATTTTCTTTATCCATTCATCTGTTGAAGGGCACCTAGGTTGGTTCCATAGCTTGGCTATTGTGAATTGAGCTGCTATAAACACTGATGTGATTGTATCAGTGTTGCATGCTGATTTTAAGTCCTTTGGGTATAAATGGAGGAGTGGAATGACAAATGATGGTTCCATTACAAGTTTTCTGAGGAATCTCCATTCTGCTTTCCAGAGTGGTTGCACAAATTTGTAGTCCCACCAGCAATGTATGAAACTTTCCCCCCACATCCTTGACAACATTTACTGTTGCTTGTATTCTTGATAATCACCATTCTGACTGGAATGAAATGAAATCTCAGTGTAGTTTTAATGTGCAATTCTCTTATTGCAAGAGATGTTGATCATTTTTTCATAAATTTGGGGTTGTGTGTGTGTAAGTGTGTTGCTGGAGATTTGTGCATACGAGGCAACCGCTCTACCAACAGAGCTATATCCCCAGCCTTTCATATATTTGTTGACCATTCCTATTTCTTCTTCTGTTCCTTTGCCCATTTATTGATTGGGTTGTTTGTTTTTTTGGTGGTAAGTTTTTTGAGTTCTTTATATATCCTGGAGATTAATGCTGTATCTGAGGTACAGGTAGTAAAGATTTTTTCCCATTCAGCAGGCTCTCTGTTCACATTCTTGATTGTTTCCTTTGCTGTGAAGAAGATTTTTAGTTTGATACCAGCCTGTTTATTGATTCTTGATTTTACTTCTTGTGCTTTAGGAGTTTTATTGCGGAAGTCGGTTCCTAAGCTGACATGATGGAGAGTTGGGCCTACTTTTTCTTCTAGTAGCTGCAGGGTCTCTGGTGTAATATCTAGGTCCTTGATTCACTTCGAGTTTATTTTTTGTGCAGGGTGGGAGATAGGGGTTCAATTTCATTCTACTACATATGGATTTCCAGTTTTCCCAGCACCATTTGTTGAAGAGGTTATCTTTTTAAGAGGGACTTTTGGGGAAGGAGGAAGAGGAATTAACTTAGTGAAGGAGAGAGWGGAAAATCATTCCTGGCTAAGTCAGGTGCAAAGGCTGTCATATTCCAGGGACTGAGAAGGTAAGTAAGCCCACAGAGAGAGGCAGGGGTAGTAGAGGAGCTCTAGAGGGTAGCAAGATCCAGTTGCCCACATTAAGGCTCTTAAACCTCTCACGAGTTTTAAAAAAACAATAGCATATTATTTGTGTTCAGAAGCTGGCAGAGTCCGGGGACACAGGTTACAAAGAATGTTCTCCCCTTGTCACAGACTGCCATTGGTCCACGGCTCCACGGCTAGTAAGGGACTGCCATAGGATGGGAATGCAGGTCATTCCAATGAACTTTCTCCACCCTGAACCCCTCTAGGCGGGTACCAGATGGGTACAGCACACACGAAGGCCAGGGGCCTCTCTAGCAAGATGCCAAGGAGTCCCTGTGAGCCTGGCCTCCCACCTGGGTCAGAAGCTCAGCTTCCTGAAGTCCTGGAGAATGTGGGGCACTAAGAAGAAATAGATGAGCGAACCCAAGCAACTGCTGAGGCTCCACAGCACCAGGCTAAGGGTGTGCAGGACATCCAGTGTGGAGGGGGCGGCACCCATCTCGGTCCCAGGGCTCCAGGAGGCTGTGAGGCACCAGGCAGAGCGCGAAGACGAGCAAGAGCCCCGAGATCATAGTCTTGGCCATGCACCAAGGCAGGCTGGCAGAGGCAGGGCCCAGCGTGTGGGTACYGAGAGTGCCTATGCCAGGCTCCTGTCTGCCGAAAGCGCCAGCAGAAAGGCTGTGGTATAGAAGGCCAACGCAGCGCAGGCCAGGCCTGGGTGCGCCCAGCAATGCTCCAGGCAGCCAACAGGGCAGCCAGGCCCCGGGCGCAGCTCGTGCAGCAGCCCAGCGACAGCACTGCACAGACCAGACTGGGCCTGCACACTGAGCCACACCGCCACAAGATGACCAGTGCCATCAAGGCCACAGCCACACAGGTGGACACAGAGTAGGCAGCCCCCGTGGAGCRGCAGGCAGCCTCGGGAAAGGGCCAGTAGGCCAGGCCCTGGTAGTAGGTGGCTGTAGCGGCCGTGTGAGCTTGAGGCGCACGTTGGCCAGGGCCAGGTGAAGTAGGCAGAGACAAAGGGCCAGGACAGGCACCCACCACCRCAGACAAACACCTCCAGCGTGGCCACATTGGGAGGCAGCCCCAGGCTCAGGGCCAAGGCATAGGCCACAGGCACCATGAAGAAGCTAGCTGGGTGGACCCGGGGGCTGCAACCGCCAACACCCAGGTTCATCTTCGACCTTGAACTGGGGAGAGGAAGAGAGGTCCCTGTGGAGGCCAGATGACAAAAATAAGTCCCCAGCCCACCCCGTCCCACACTAATCCCCTCTTCTTCAGTCCTTGCTAGAAGGGAACAGTAGAGGCAAGGGGTTCCATGAGAGGAGCTGTGGACAGAGGGGAGGGGATGGACGCCAGAGTTCTCAGTGAGGAGCTAGAGGAAATGAGGAAAGAGAGGAGTCCAAAGAGGGCTTGGAAATTTCCCACCTTGGTGACTGGGACGGGGGAGGTGCCCTTCACAGATAATCAGAATCCTGGGGGTACACCTATGTGAAGTGAGTCCAAGCAGGGCTGGGGCAATAGGGAGTCCCAGAGAAATGAGGCTGGAATATTGAGTCCTTCCCTGGGAGTGGGGGTGGGGGTGGGGGGTGGGGGGACACTCCTCCATAAAGAAGTTTCCTATGACCATAAAGAAGTTCTGGGTCAGACTGAGAACTCTGGGCAGCAAAGCAAAAAAAGCACAGGAACCTTGCACTTCTAGATACACACATTTATTTGCCATGTGACCTTGGGCCAATTACTCAGCCTCACTGAGCCTGTCTTCCCTGCTGTAAAATGGAGATTAAAATACCTACCTCATAAGGTTGTTGGGAGGATTATGAGAAAGCATAAGTAAAACTCTGGGCCCTGTGGCTGACACTGGGGAGATACATCATAACCGCTSGCTCCCTTCCCTCTAGGCAGCGCGCAGATAAATGTGTGTACTCATACAGGCACACATGCAGCCAGCAAAACAACACAAAAACATCTGGTCATGTTCCTGCCCTCTCCAAGGAGGATGAGCGCATACAATGTCCATTTTTATCGTCCATACATTACCAAAACTACTAATTTTGACACTTAAGACAACCCTATCATATCCTCAAACTTGGTCCCTCCAGTGCTAACATCTGGATTTCCACCTTTGAGTCTCTCAGGCTCCAGTCCTTTTCCAGGACCCCAAATTAGTGTATTCCACCCCCACCCCACTCCCAGTTCTGTCCACCTCAGTTCTAGTTCTCAACTCCTCCCTGTCATCCCTTCAGATTATCCCTCTTTCCTCTGGTTGTGCTGGTTGCTGGAGCTTTCTCTGGGGTCCTGGGATCCTGATAAGGAGTTGAGACAGGGAAGAATCCCCTCCTACCCACATGTCCCAGAACTTTCTTATTAATCTCTGGATGAGACATGAAGAATGGGCCCCTACAGGGAGAAGCTGGGGCCCACCTATGGCAGCTGGGAGCTGGGTTTATGGGGTACAGCAATGGCACATAGAGGAAGATAGCAGGAGGCCAGGCAAGGGAATGTAAAGGTGCTGAGCTAACCTAGACTTAGGCTGCAGTATGGGGCACACATTTCCTGGGGCCTGGCTTCTCCTTGGGCTATTGAGGAGGCCCTCAAGATTCCTGCTGCAGTCAATCCTAACTGCCCCTCCACACAAGGTGTCCATMCCATTTTTTCAGCACCATGCCTGACCTGCAGCTGCTGGGCCTGTCCTATAGCCAACTTTGAGAGTCAGTGGCTACTCATCAGCCTACAGGCTGGTAAACGGGAGGCCTCAGTCCATGCCAGCTTTGAGAGGTTGTTCTACTCACAGTTCTGACTGGAGACAGGTGGGCTAAGCAGCCAGGGCTTTCCAGGCTCTACTTCTATGGGTTTCAAAAAAATTTTTTTTTCATCTTTTACTTTTTTAAAATTTTTATTTATTTATTTATTTAATTTTATTTTTTTTATTGGTTGTTCACAACATTACAAAGCTCTTGACATATCATATGGGTTTCAAAATTTTCATGCAGAGGGGTAATTCTGGAAGGCAGGGCAGATTTGATCACAGTGGACAGGTCATCCCAGGTGTCATACCAGCCTATTTTCAGTTCTGGCAGTTGGTGCAAAACAAAGGGTAGGATTTGGAATCAGTCAGGCCTTGGTTCTAGTCTCAGGTCTGACATATAAATACCTAAAACTTTCTGATCCATAGTCTCATCAGAACAAATTGATATTTAATAACAGCATTTACTGGCCTGTTATATGCCAAATTTTGAAATAATTAAGTTTTTTTAATGTTTATTTAATCCTACATCTACAGGAGGGGTGGAGGTGTGGGAATTGTGGCAAAAGTGTTGGCGAAGATCTGAAAAAAAAAACAATACCTTTATTTTATTTATTGATTTTTAATATTTATTTTTTAGTTGTAGTTGGACACAATACCTTTATTTGTTTTTATGTGGTGCTGAGGAATCGAACCCAGGGCCTTGTGCTTGCTAGGCGAGCACGCCACCACTGAGCCACAACACCAGCCCTATTTTATTTATTTTTATGTGATGCTGAGGATGGAACCCAGGGCCTTGCACGTGCTAGGCAAGCGCTGTACCGCTAAGGCAAAACCCCAACCCTAATTAGTTATTTTTCGTATTTTATAAACAAACTAGCAAGTGGCAAATACTGTCATTCCCCACCCTTTCCTCATTGACCAAATGGGTAAAAATGGGTATGAAGTCCACCATAGGAATTCCATCTTTCTTGACAGAGATTGGTTTAGGAATGGAAAATGTGGCATAATTCTGGCCAGTGAGATGTGAGGGAAAATCTAGGGACTTCTAGAAGATCCTTTCTCTTTCTTTTCACTTTTAGAAATGTGCAACTGTGCAGTCTGTAGCTGCTGCAGCTATTCTGCAACTCTGAAGGCAGCAGCCAATAAACTGAAAGCAGCATAACAGAAAGTTGAAAGAACGCTGGTCCTTTGTGTCCTCATTAAGCACAGAATTAACCAACACTGAAAATGAAGTCAAGTCATCTTGGACTGCTTAAGTGAGAGAAAATTTCCTTATTGTTTTGACACTGCCACACGTGTTTATGTACTGTTATCCACTTATCTATTTATCTGTGCTATAGGTAGATTACATCATTGTGCTTTTGGACACAAGATCTCCKACCAAGATTTTCCACTTGCCTGAGGTTCATGCTAGTCAGTGACAGAGCAGGAATTGCTTTTCTGACATGAACCTGAAATGGTGTAATATACATAGACTTCTGATTGTTCCTACCCCCAAAGCAATTTATAAGCTGATATAGAATATTGGTATAAATAGACTTTTTCCTATTTTCCTTCATGGGAGGTACAGTACTTTCCAAAAGGTGAAGTGGCTGGTGACATGACATGTTGCCCACCTTCCCTTCTGATCCCCGGGATTCCTCCCAGGCTTTGGGCCCTGCTGTATCATTCAGCATTCCAGGGAGTTGGCTGTCCCCAGATCTACATAGGAGTCAAGGAGCCCTGGACTGGGCCATACGTCACCATCAAAGGCCAGTGATTTCAGGTCCTATAAAATGACTCAATGCCCATTTTTGTAAGCTCTTTAAATCTAAAGTGTAAGAGAGAAAAAAAGAATGGGAAGGAATCTTTCATGTGGCTTAGAAGGGCATAGGCAGAAACAGATACTTAAACTCTGTAACATTCAACCTATAAATTTTAAAATGTGTATTTTAATATCTCAAAAATTGCATGCCTTTTGAACCAGCACCTTCACTTCTAGGGAAAGGAAATAAGTATATGCAAAGATGATTTATTGTGAGGTTTATAATCATAAAAAATTGGGAACGTTCCTCACGGAAGGTAGACTAAATCCTTACAATGGAATACTATGCAGCCATCAAGACTAACTGAGGTAAAAGAGACACAGAATGGTGTTATAGAATACTAGGTTTAAAAAGTAGGTAATAAAATAGGATATATGATCTAATTTTCATTTAAAAAATATATAAATCTATACAAAGGCATAGAAAAAGACAAGAGACATAGTACCAAGGCATTAAAAGTGGTAATTTTGGAATATTAGAATTTTCGTGTTTTAAATTTCTTTTCTGCTTATTTTCTATTTTCACATGACATGAAGAATGTCAGTGTGTGCAACATCTACCCCTCAAAAGAGAGCAGTATGGTTACAGAGAGTAATCAGGGCTAGGTAGACAAGATGTCTCCTTCAACACTGGACGACATGGAACGTACTGGTAATGAGGTGACAGACTATTCCAGCATGTTCCTGCTGTGWCAGCTGCATGGTATGAAGGGACTCTCTACATCCAGGGTTCTTTGAATGCACTTGGAGTCTTCTTCCTAGAGTGTCTGACCATCTTCTTAGTTTGGGCTAAGAACTGGCAGACGTCCAGCAGCAGCAGGAGCCCCAAGCAGACAATGGCTGGGATGGAGGTGCTCAGTGACTCTTTCAGAGATACCAAAGTGAAGATAGCCACTGGAATGGAAAACAAAATCCCTGAGGCTCCCTGGAAGCAGCCAGAAGATCCTGAGAGCTCAGGGGTTCCAGCCTAGGCTGACCCACTCCAGCCCAAGCCCTCCGATTAAACAACCTCCACATGAATCCTTCTCCTCATCTTTGGCTTCCTGCAGAAAGCAGGACCAAGAGTTAGAAGCCTCTTGGACTAATAAAGGCTCACTCRGAGGTTAAGAAAGAAATGGCAACATTCTAATCGAAGGGGGCAGGGACTATGAGGTAGGTAGACAGGGATTTGGGAACAAATTTTTCCCGATCCTTCTTCTTTCTTAATCCTACATCTACAGGAGGGGAGGAGTTGTGGGAATTGTGGCAAAAGTGTTGGCAAAGATCTGAAAACGAGGAAAGGTCTAGAAATGGAAAGAATGCTTAGGAGACAGGGTGGTAACAGTACCAATAATGGTGACACAGGCCAAGGGGATAAAGAAGAGCCTGAAGATGTCTAGTCTTTGAGGCAGAGCTGTCTCCGTACATCAGCCGTTCCTGTGGACACAGCTTCTACAAGAGGCGCCTCACAGAAACCATCTGCCTTTCTGTTCAGGGGGCCTTAGCTTCCTAGCTCTCTACTCCCATCTGCTATACACATAAGCCAAGTGGCAGCTGCTGCTCCTCCCCTCATTCCAGGAGTGGGTGTGTGGAAGGAGTAGGGGTTCTGAGGTTATAATACATCCTCATAATGGAATACTACGCAGCCACGAGGTAAAAAGTATACTTGACATGGGTTAGTATTATGGTATATCAAGTTTCAAACTGTCCTCTTCTGAAGACTATGGAAACTGCAGCAGAGCAGAAAGTGTTCTTGGTCCCAGAGAGAAAAGGTGGCAACAGTAGTGGGGGAAAGAACAGGTCTTCTATCATTCCTCCCAGAAGATCCCATTTCCCCAGGCCCCCTTACCCATCATGAGGAGGGTCAAGAGGAAGTTACTGATATCTTGTAGCACCGGTGGGCCCACGACCAACAGCAACCCAGCCAGCAGCTCCAGCCAGCCCACAGCTGTTTGGTAGTTCACAGGATCTGGCTGGTAGCCGAACAACTTCAACGGGAACACCTCAGCAAACTGCACGAACAGGGCTTTCTACAAATGGCAGGGAATGCCTATCAGCCATGCTCACCTAGGAAATACTGTCCAGATGCCCCACAGGGGCATTCTATACCTTTGTTCTCAACCCCCTTAATAAAACCATTATTTACCCTAGGTCAGAGCCTGAGGTCAGCCTGGAAAAGCCACCTTGTGGTGCTGAGTTTTGAAATCAGGATACATACATGCTCTATGCCCAAGTGAGAAGAAGTTGATTTTCTCATCAGATTACACCCTGGCCCCAAGGCTTGGGCCTTCCCCTCTAGGAATAAGGCCTTGCTTGAGGATTCCAAGATCCTTTTTGTTTTGTTATTGTTTTGTACTGGGGATTAAACCAATGGGCACTTTACTACTGAGCTACATCCCCAGCCCTTTCTATTTTGAGACAGGATCTCAGTGGCTTAGGGACTTGCTAAATTGCTGAGGCTGGCATCAAACTTGAAATCCTCTGTCTCAGCCTCTCAAGCCACTGGGATTACAGGCAAGCCCACCATGCTAGGCCTGGTTCCTCTTCAGACTACTTTTCAGGGAATGTTTGGAGGTGATGAGGTGGTGGAAGCACTCATTAAACAGACCCCATCTTCAATATCCTCAGTTGGGTTCCGGATTCCAATGTGGCGGACTCAAGGAAGAAAAGGAAGGGCTCAATAAGACCCTCTTGCTGAATTGGGCCGTTCTCTAGGCCAAATGACAGCTCACCCACAGTTGCCTTTTCCTGCTCTCCCACTTCTCCTCTACCTCTCCTACTCGGCCCTGCAAGGAAACAGTTTAAGCTGAAGGCTCTGGTGAGATTCTTCCCCCAAATAATCCACCATCCTAAATCATAAAGGGAGTACCTAGGCTTGGGAGAGAGAGGCAACTGGGGCCTCCCTCAAAGCCTGGCCTCTTGGAGGGGCTGGGGGCACTGGTAAGCTGGAGATGAAAGCTTTCCTACACTCTGGAACTAGCCAGAGAGGTAGCAGGGGCTTTCTAGGCTTGTTGGAAAAAGAAGGGATTGAATTAGGAGAGTCTGGTTTGGGTCCTGCTTCCTGCACATTAGATTATACCTCACCTTCAGGGCAGGTTTCCTACCTGCAAAGTGGGGATTACTACAGCCTGCTTCGCGACTCACCAAAAAGTAGAGGGGAAGAAGGTGGAAGGACACTCATCCTCCGCCAAAAAGGTGCCCAAGCACTCCTCTCGGGCTCTTAATTCGCTCCGCGAAGCCAGTGCTCAGCCGGAAAGGGTGGTCCCACCCGCTCCCGCCCAAGGAGCCAGAAAACTCGAGGAACTCCGGGGAGGTCCCCGGCGCGGGGCCCAGCTCCTGCGCGGCCAGGCCGAGCACTCGCCACACTCCCGGCTCCCGGCCCCCGCCCACCCACTCGCTCACCATCTGCTGCGACACGGGAGCCGAGATCTGCGAGAGCTTGGCCGCCCCCGTGAGCGCAAAGAAACCGCCCAGCAGGACGCGCAGGGCGGCGAGCACGAGCGCCATGGCCGCGCCGCTCGGGACCCAGAGGCCGCCTCGCGGGCTCGCTTTCTCCCGCCTCCGCCGGAAGGCCGCGCCCACCCTCTGGGACGTGTCCGCCAGGCCCGCGGGCTCTCCGCCCGAATCCAGGGGCGGCCCCGCCTCCCGGCCAGCACAAAGTGGAGGCAAACGTGGGCATCTGGCCGTGGCCGCGCTGGAGCCGCGTTCTGCCCCAGGGCCCGGGCTTCGGCCCTGCGACTGCCACACTAGCAGGAGGAACTGGGCTTTCGCCCGACCCCAAACGACCTCAGTGTCTGCACCCACAGGGCAATAAGGCCTTGGCTCTCCCGAGTGGCTAACAGGCCTGCAGAAAATCATTTGTAAATGAGTAACCTAAACCACCTGATACATAACCAATAATTAACTAGTCGTGCAGCGCGGTGGCGCAAGCCTGTAATCCCTTAGGAGGATCTGAGTTCAAAGCCTACCTCAGCAACTCAGTGAGACCCTGTCTATTTAGTAAGAAACAGGGCTGGGGATGTGGCTCAGTGCCCCTGAGTTCAATCCCGGTATCCCTCCCCCACTCAAAAAAAAGGTGTTCTTGTATATCTTGCTTGAAGTATCTGCCCTCTGACGTCTCAGCTGAATTTAAAATGTGAAAGGTGTTTGAAAATTCAGATACTTGTCAGGGGAAGAGAGGCTTTCATTGAACAAAGCGCTGTAGGCCATCCCTGGCCCATCTACTCTTACCAGGATGTCTGTTTAGAGCTGGCTGGGCAAAGTGTGGGCCAAATTCTGCTAGCTGTTTGGTTTTTCTGCTCTCCTCCACACAAGATAATAATGTTTGTTTACACTTTTTAATAATTAAAAAGTGCAAGAAGTTTTCGTGACACATAAAAATTATGCGAAATTGACATCTCAGTGTTCATAAAGTTTTACTGAAATACTCATTTGTCTATGGCTGCTTTTACACTGCAACTGTGTAGGAGTGGCCACACTATGGGTGCAAAACCTAATATTTACTATATGGCCCTTTGTGAAAAAAGTTTGCCAAGCCCTGGTCTAGCGTGCCAGAGAAAGCCCCAAACAGTCTCAAACTCCCCTCTGTCCTATTCCCTGTTAACCATTACTTATTATGATCTTTGTTTTCCACCTGCCTACAATCTGCTGGGGGCAGCTGGCTGCCTGAAGACAGAAATCTCCCATGTCCAACTTCAACATTCAGATTGTGCTATCATATTAGAAACTGGGCCTTTTAGCAGGGGGAAGTAGTGGACTCCTTGTAATCCCAGCAGCTCAGGAGGCTGAGGCTGGAGGGTAACAGATTCAAGGCCAGCCTCAGCAATTTATTGCGACCCTATCTCATAAAAACAAAAAATAACATGAACTGGGAATGAGGCTTAGTTGCTGAGCACCTCAGTTCAGTCCCCCATACAAAAAAAAAAAAGGTCTTTAATTAGATGCAATATTGGTCACTAACCCAAGTTTGTCAACCAAATTCTCTATGTTGGATTATTAAAAAACTAAACATAATTATGCACAAATGTGTAATTATCAAATCCTTCCAAAAGATTAGAAAATTATTAAAACAAACACTGAAAACACAAATCCACATTAGGAAATTATATTTTAGGATAGTTACACAAAATTTAACACAAAATTAGACTTCTTTATTTATATTTTTAGTGGTAGATGGACACAATACCTTTGTTTGTTTATTTAATGTGCTGAGGATTGAACCCAGTGCTTCATACATGCCAGGCAAGTGCTCTACCACTGAGCTGCAACCCCAGCTCAAAAATTAGACTTKGATGATAAACAACATGCACACTGCTTTTCTTTCTCCTTTACTAATTTTTCTATCCTTGGAATTAATGATGTGACTGCAAGTCTCAGAGCAGAGCCAGAAACCAACAGATTTCTTTGTCTTGACACAGTCAAAGCTGAAAAGGCAGCATCACATAAATAAACAGTTGAAAAAGGTAATAAAAATTTCATTGCCTTTTCATGCAGTTCTGGGTAACTTGTCTTTGCGTTTATCCAAAACTGCGTTACAGATACTGATTTAAATAGTGACTGTAATCCTAAATCTGAAAATAACTGTTTTAATTTTTCTTTTTCARAATTAGTAAGATTATTATTTTGGTGATTCGTAAATGGGTTAATAATCCACAAATTTCCTGGACGCAAGTCATCTTCTGGTGGGTAGCAGTCATGGAACATTTGAGAAAGTCCTTCCAGGTGCTCAAGAATAATGCTTGTGATATTTCTCACATTTAAGTCTGATGAGTTTGAGAATTCAGAAAATGAAGGGAACATATCATAATCATTCTCTTGTGTCCGCTTCAACCACATTTTTAACTTTTTCTTATAAATATCCATTTTATTATACAAATTGAAGAAAGTAGTCATGGTTCCTTGAAGACTTGAATTTAACTCATTTATAAGTGAAAATATATCCGCTAAATAGGCTAGCTTTGCAACCCATTCCTCATCATGAAAATAGGTGGCGAAATCTGAATGCTTTTGATTTAAAAATATTTCAATTTCATGTCGTAATTCAAATAACCTTGTTAAAATTCTCCCTCTTGATATCCAACATATTTCAACATGAAGTGGTAAATTCACATGCTCGGGTCCCATCTCTTCACACAAAATTGTTAACATCCGTGAACTCGATGAATTACTCTTTACAAAACTTAAAATTTGTGCTGACTGCAAAAGAACTTCATGTAAACATGGAGACAACTTTTCAGCTGCTAAGAGTTCACGGTGAATAAAACAATGTGTAAATGCCACTGTACTCATGGCAACTTCTTGAATTTTTGCCCTTAAATCAGAATACCTGCCAGTAATGCTTGCAGCCCCATCAGTACAGAGACCAACACAATGTTTCCAATTCAGAGATTTACTATCAATATACTTATTTATTAGTTCAAATATTTCAAAACCAGTGATTTGAGAAGGCATTTCAAGGCAAAATAATAATTCTTCTTTTATATCACTATACTCATAATCAATGAAACGAATATAGCACAAGAGAAGGGTGGTATTTGAGATTTCTGATGACTCATCTATCTGAAGAGCAAACCACGCTGACTCTCTGACCTTTTGGATCAGCTGATCTTCGATGTCTGCAGATAATTCATCAATTCTGTATCCAACTATATTATTAGAGAGAGGAATGGTTTTCATTTTGTCTCCAGCACTTGAACCCAAAACTTCTGAACACATTTCTACTAAATATGGTTTGATTAATTCTTCAGCAATAGAGAATGGCTTCTTGCTGGCAGCAATTTGGAAAGCAATTAAATAAGAAGCTTTCACAAGTGACTTTTCAACTAGTAAACACTTTTTTAAAGAACTGTTTTGACATTCCATTTCAAGAGATTTTTGTACAAAGAAATCTACTGGCTTGTTTTCTAATTCTGAATGTTTTGTCTTCAAATGATGAGAAAGATTTGCCGGCTTCAAACTTTCACTGGGTAAGATCTCTCCACAAACGACACACTGTGGCCTTGGTAAACTCTCTTTTGATCCAGGACACATAATACAACCAACCTTTAAATATTCCAAATCATAAGTCTGGAAAAAACCTATTCTTTTTTTCTTTGCAGGTGGAGAATCAAGTTCTGCATCATTTTTCTCATTTGGCATAGCTAAATCTGAAGGAAATATTTGAATCACTGTTAAATGTGTAAACTGTTAAGTTCAAGAATAAATAAGCATTGTTCTTTGTTTTTTCCCCACACATTTAAAATTTTTTTGTTACTATTTATATTTATGAAAATAATATCCTGATTAAAGTTTTTAAAACAGACTATAATACCTTCATGATGCCATTAAAAACTCAATTTCTCCTTTGTCCAAAGTTTGGCCACTAGATTATAATAAAATTATAAGCTGTAAAATGTGAAATTAATCTCACCTATCTAATAGTTTACTGGAATTAGTTCTGAAGTCCATGACACACACAAATTAAGAATAAATTATTTTATTTTCAAAGAGCTCAGGAAAAGAACCAAAATGTTGGAAGAAGGAAGTACTTGGTGAATCTAGATAAAGGGTATGCTGACATTAATGATACTGTTTTTCAATCTGTCTGAATTTTGATATTTTTCAAAATTAAAGTTGAGGAAAAGAAAGAAACCTAGTTAGTTAAAGACACAGGGGCAATTGTTGATTGTGATATCCAGTGTCAGAGAGGGTGAAGAGAAATTAATCCTATCCAACACTGATTTTAGAACATAAATTGTAACTTTTCARGAAGGCAATTTAGCAACAGGTTTTAAAAGCTTTAAAAACTGACTACAGCCTTTAAATGAGTAATCCTGCTTCTTAGGATCTGTCTTAAGAACATAACTAGACAAGTGGACAAAGATCCATTAATACACTTTAACTTGACATTGTTTATAAGTATTAAAAAATCTAGGAGCTGGGGGTAGAGCTCAGTGGTGGAGCACTTGCCTAGCATACGGCATGTTTTGGGGTCAATGCCCGTACTGGAGAAGAAAGGAAGGAAGGAGATAAATAAATCTGAAGTTCTAATCTTAGGGGGTTGGTTATGTTATATACTCTGAAATTTATGTATATTAAGAATTCTGATGTATATTTAAATTTATACTGACATGGAATATTTTCAATAGTATGAAATAACAAAGCAGTTAACAGTTTACAACAGTATACAGAAAATAATCTAATATTTAGTCTAGAAATTTAAAAAAATGTATAGGTACACATATACCCCCACATACAGATGCCCACAGAGCCTTTACTAACCTCCACATGTAATCATATAAATTCATGTACATAGTGTATCATTTTAACAGGGATATAAAATAATCAAATCTCCTGAAGAAGAAAAATAGCAATTTCTTTGACTCCTACCATAAGAAAGGTACCCTGAATAAAAAACAGCTGAGTACTTTTTGACAGGTTTTTGTTTGTTTGTTTTGCTATCGTTGTTATTGGTTTTTTTTTTTTTTTTTTTTTTTTTTTTGAGACAGGGTCTATCTAGCTAAATTGCTGAGGCCAGCCTCTAACTTATAATTCTGCT